GAACAGGATAGGTCCGTGCTCCTATCGGAACAGGATAGGAGCCTGCCAGCCAGAGGGCCCTGAGCCTCAGGAAGCAGGTAGCTCGAGGCCTGGCACACCGCTCTGCTGTGGAGCGGCCCAGCGCCCCAAGCCATGACTCAGCTTCCTGAACTTGGAGCCCTGGGGCCGAAGAGACGAGGACCCTGCAGTCTGGCTTTCCTGAGAGGTTTTAATAACAACCGGACTTTAGGAAGTCTAGCTCTTTGCTGGGTTTGGGACCTTCTACCTTTGCAGCTGCTGGGGAGAGGCTCTGGCAGAGAAAAGGATGGAAAGGATGTTCCAACCTTTCTTATCTCCCCACTCAGAGGGCTGCCAATCAGCCACTGGGATCACTGTTCTGATTTATTTGCTCACTTTGCCCCCACCCTCACTGTGTTTTTCATTCTCCAATCCTCTTTAGCACAGGCTACTTGTTATTTCATGAATCCTTGTGAGCCATCTGCAATCCTTCCTGAAACATCATGGAAAGAAATAAACAAGAAAACAAACCACTAAACAATACCCTCCCTGGACTTAGACTTCTAGGAAGTTATAACAACATCAGCAACCTTGGAGAAAGCCAAAGATTTCTTTTCAGTTCTATTTTGTTAGAGGGAGACATGAGGATCTTTTTTCTATCTAATTAAAAACAAAACACCACCAAAATCCCCAAACAAACAAAAATGACCACCACCAACAAAAACCCCAAAAAACTAAAAAGCACTTAACAAAATTATCCATAATTCCCAACACAGAGAAGAATTTAATCACAATCTGGGTAGGAGAAATTAAAAAAAAATTCTTAGAATGATATTTTGAAAAAATCATAGTTACTTTTTTTCACTCACTAGACCCTTCCCTTAACTGAGAGCCAGGTTTGTGGGGAATTCGATTTACTTGCCATCCAATTGGCAAGCAACCTTACCGTCTTCCCTTTTACCCATTCGGTGGCTAATGAGCTGGAGGCAATGGCAGAACCACAGCCAAATGTTTTAAACCTGGCGTCCACGATCTTCCCCTTTTCATCCACTTGAATCTAGACAAGAGACAGGAGTTAGGCAGTGATTCCTGGGATGCCCTGTGGAACCTGGCCCTCACCGAGGTTCACCGGGGCTCTCCCCAAGAGCTGTGGGGAGCTTCCACACTAAGTTTTGGCGCTAATTACCGCGCTTGCTTTGTTTCAAAGAGCTCAGTGAGGAAAAGTTAAACGTGGGAACAACTATACAGAATTATACAGGCTTAGCTGGTAAAGATGAGCTGAAAAATATGCCCCCTCCCTAGTTTTTTTTGCAATGCTAGCCTGCTTTTTGGCTATGAAGTTCTGCTCACAGCTGCTGGGTCAGTCTGCCTCTTTAAGCACTGGGACGGTCTGCACTAAAGGTCTCTGGTCATTGCTTTTTTCTTGGCACCAAGTTACTTTTAGTGGTTCCCTCCTGCCTTGTTTCTGTTTTCCAAGATAAGCATGAAAACCTCTGGCAAGGTGCCCACCCACCATGATGAAGTAGATTGTGCATAAAGCTACGGTTTCCCCAAAGTGCCAATCACTACCTTCAGGTTGTTGCCAATTTGGGGGAGGTTTGATTTATTACATTTCTTGTCTCACTGAGGGTGGCTAGCTGAACGGTTGTGGTTTTCCTTCGATCAGTAAAATTCACAAAACCTTTACTTCGCTGAAGCTGGAATTTAAGCTGATCCAGTGACTAGAAAAGGGAGATCAGTTTACTATATCAGAAAGGGTCAGCACAGTCTACTAGCAGGGGGACTAGCATTCAGTCCTTGCTCTGACAATTTATAACACTGACTCACCCCATCTCACAGGAATCAAGATGGAGTCTGCACGAAATGCTGTGTGCGCGCATGCTTTGTAAACAGTGAAGCTCTGTGTAAGCAAGCAAAGGCGTCACTGTTATTCACATTCAAGATCAAAACCGGTCCTACCTGTAGTTTCATTACATCACCACACGCTGGAGCCCCCACCAATCCAGTTCCCACATTTTTAGATGTCTTGTCAAGGGACCCCACGTTTCTAGGATTTTCATAATGATCAACAACCTGAAACGAAAGGTTGAGAGCAATCATGACTCTTTTTTGGTACTGGTCTCCCCGACTTGACAGTAAGCTCCCGGAAGTCGGCAGGCTGAACCTGGCAGGCGATCACTAAATCCCAAATTTCACCCTGGTAGGAAGGCTTACACCTCTGTCAATGACAACCATTTGTGACCCAAAGTCTTTCTGTATCTCCTCTCCAACTACCTTCAGAGATTTGAGATACGAGAGAAAAACCAGCCAAATCATGTCTTAATTCCACAGGGTTTTTAACCACAAATAATTACTTGACCTTTAACCACCTACGTCACCAGATTTGGGCTCAAACAGTATTTTTGTTATTTCCAAATAAAATCCATTTTTAAAGGTTAATGATTACTATTCAAAAATTCTAAAAATAAGTACGGGTCAGAAATGTAAGGCTTTCCCAGAGCCTCAAGGAGACTGTTACAGAAGGAACAATGCTGTGGACCCTGTGCATTTGTGTATGATGATAACATCAGGCCTGTTTCTGTCCCTGAAAGCCCCCCGGTGCAGCAGCGCCCCCTGGTGGCTGAAAGGCTGCTAGCTCGAACTCATTCAGCGTGAAATGTCAACAAAACACACCCCCGGGAGGGGGAGGAGGGAAGTCCCTGGCATCGTGAAGCCAGAACCGAATAAATCTCTCTTCACACTGGCACACAGGCTTTAATAGCCTTGGGTCCGTTTACCAGTTAGCTCTAAGTATCCCGATCTTCCAGTCTCCTTTCCCCCACCTCTCCGACCACGGACTTGGACTCCAAGCCCAAGGACCTACAAGGTCATGTCCAATCTGGACTTTCTGCCCCATGTTGATGTACGGCATTCTTCGGTTAGTTTCCGGAGTCAAAGAATCTCACGTCTAGGGGACTTTACGCCCCCAGAAGGCAAGGGCTGTAAACGATGCGCCTATTCCTCTCCCCCTCCCCCCACGAAAAAACCAAAACATACATAAAAACATTATGACTGCTGGTTACGTGTCTGACTCCGCTCAGAGGCTCCTTCCTACCACAGTAACAGTTGCGGCACCATAAACGGTCCCCGTGTGCTAGGCATCACGCTGAGGACTCCACGAGCATCACCTCGCGTAGATCTAGAAGTGCTAAGACCCCCATTTTACAAATGGGGAAACGGGCTCGGCGAGGGGCAGTGACTTGCCCAAGGTCACTGGGCCCGGGCAGTGGCCTGGCTGGAGCCGGTGTGCGTGTCTGGCCCCGGATGCGGCTGGCAGGTCCCAACAGGCCCCCGACTGTTGGGAAGTTAAAGGCCGGGACGCGCGACCCCGCGGCGGGCGGCGGGCGGCGGCGGCTCCACGAACCGCAGCCGGTGCTTGCTTCAGGCGGGTTAGCGTTCCTGCGCAGCGAGGGGCAGGGTCGAGCGAGGGGGCGGCCCCTCCGTCCGGGGCCGGGGCGCCGCCCCTTCCCCCGCCGTAGCAGGGGCTCCCCGGCCGCGCAGAGCCCCGCGGCCACTCCTCCCTGGGCTGGGCCTCCGCCGGCACGCCCGGGGTCCCTCGGCGGTCGTCGCACTCCCGATCCCCGGCCGGCGCGGGCCCCGCGCGCCCCCTCGCCCGCGCCTACCTTCTTGTGATAGAGCCGGGCCGGAGCTGACAGCTCCCGGGCGGGCAGGCGCGGGCTCCGCAGCAGCAAGGCCGACGCCGCCCGCCTCAGACGGCCCGCTCCAGCCGCCGCCATCTTGCGGGCTTGCGCCTGCGCAGGCCGAGCGCGAGACCGAGGGGTGGGGTGCGCCCGCGAGTCGGCTCCCAGCTCGGAGCGCGCTTCCTCCTACGTCACCGCGACGTCGCGCCTGCGCCCTCTCGCTCTGTGCACGTGTCCGCGCTTGGGCCCCGCCCCTCAGGGCGGGCGGGGCTCGGAGCTGGGAGCTGTGGGGTCGCAGGCGGGTTTGTTCTCGGCGCTGGGCTCTGTATCTGCTAGGATCTCAGCCTCCTGGAGTGCGGGATCTACGTTCGCGTTCACAAAGCCCACCGCCGGAATACGGCGCAGAGGATCACCTAGTCCACCTTTCTTCACTCTGTTTTGCAGCTTAGGAAGTTGAGGTTCAGAGCGACTTAGTAGCTTGTCTGAGGTTGCCCAGAGTTAGACTCAGTCGGGATTCAAACTCGAACAATCCTGTTAGAATCCCGGTTCTGCTTCTTCCTGGCTGTGTGACTGTAGGCAAATGACATCAGCTTTCTAAGCCTTAATCTTCTCTTTTGTACTAAGTCAAGGCCAATTTTTTTCATCCATTGAGCAGATATGTGTTCAGTACCTATCATATGTCAAGGCGCTATACTAATAGGCTTTGGGGATCCAACGGAAAGACATAGTCCCTGCTCCATTAAGCTTGCTAACGAAGGAGGAAGGCAATAAATGAACACGCCAATACTTTCCTACCTCAAAAATGGGAAGCTTAATTAGGAAGGAAACGAACACCATGCCCTGATTAACAGAAAAATGCGTATATTTATGTCCGCGTCTATTTCAATATAAAGCAAACTGGCACAATTTATATGACAGTACCTGGCAGTGAAGAGTTTCTGAATAAATGTTTAGTCATGTAATTTATTAATATTGGTTTGCAGAATACGGTCTTAGAAAACGAGAAATCTCGCACATGTTATTTAACGCCTGCTAGGCACCAGGCATTACATAAAGGGGAGGAATCTCTTTGGGAAATGGGTTTTTCTCGTGGATGGTGCAATCGATACTTCCCAGAGGACTCCGAGTTTTCTCTGCGTTTGACGCTCAGTTGCTGGGGAGACTGAACCACGCGCCAGGTTAGACGCAAGCAAGGCGTTTATCCCAAGAATCATATTGACCTTCTCAAGATGGCGCCAAACCCTTAACCACAGTCATCACGCTCCCTCCATGACGTCCTCTAATGGCCTCCACTTCCGGTCCAAAGACCCATCTTCTGTCCGAAGTTGTGGCCGTACATATGCCATATTATTAAGCTTCTTTCTCTGAAAAGAACTTTTACGAGTATATAAAAACAATATGAGTGGCGTGTATTTAGAGATTTTTCCGTCACCCGAAGCTCACAGTTTCCCTTTGAGTGGCAAGAGTGCGGGGTTTTGATCAGGCACGCGCCGCGGGCAGCTTCTACTTCTGCGGGTCTTCGGCGGCCGCGTGAGGACCCGAGAGTCACTGGAAGCGCAAGATGGCGACCGCGGCTGCAACATCGGCTTCGGAACCGGAGGCTGAGCCCAACGCTGGGCCCAAGGCCGAGGGAGAGGAGGAGGAGGTGAAGGCGGCTAGGACGCGGAGGAAGGTGTTATCGCGGGCTGTGGCCGCTGCGACGTGCAAGACCATGGGGCCAGGGTGGGACCAGCAGGAGGAGGGCATGAGCGAGAGCGATGGAGACGAGGAGTACGCCATGGCTTCCTCGGCCGAGAGCTCCCCCGGGGAGTACGAGTGGGAGTACGACGAAGAGGAGGAGAAGAACCAGCTGGAGATCGAGCGGCTGGAGGAGCAGGTGCGCCCGGGGGTGGGCGGCGGGCTCCTTCCCTCGCGTCCCCGGGCCCCGGCCCGCCTCCGTGGTCCTGAGCGGGAATAAAGACGCCGAGGCCGCAGAACCGCTATCGTCAGCGCAGCTCCTGTCGTTGGAGCGCTTCCCGCTGGCCCCGTGCTTTGCAAGCGGTATCCCACTGAACCCTCGCAAGGACCCCGCGAAGGAAGGGGCGTATTCCCCGTTTTACGGGAGGAAACAGGCTCCTCGTGGAGAGAATTCTCAGGCTCAAGATCACACTTCCTGCAAGTGGCGAGTCTGGTCTTGAACTTTGAACCGACTCCAGCACTCCCACTCTTCACCACACCGTTAGGCTATGCCCAGCAGTAGAAATAAAATTCGCTTCGTAAGAGAGGGTTATTTTTCTGTAGGAATGATGATAATGCTGAAATGTGGCGTGGCAGAAAATGTTGACCGTGACGACGATCATAGAAATAGAAGGGTGGGGATTTCAGCGTCTGGAGGCGAAGGCCCCAGTTCTAGCTCTTCCACGCCTGTATGTGCTTGGGCACGTTGCTTAGCTTCTCTGAGCCTTGGCTTCCTCATCTGTAAATTGGGAGTAGCAATTCCTGCACCATGTAATCGACATAACGGTAATATAATTCAGTGGGGGGCACCTAGTAGTGACGTGACTTCTAATCTGTGACTTTATGAGATACAGGTGGTGGATCTCCTGTGTAATCCAGGATCCCAGCAGGAAATAGGTGGTGCATTCAAATTAGGATAATTTGAGAAAAGGTCAATAAAGGGACTACTGTGTTTGTAAAGGTGGGGGCGGGGACATCAGGAATGAAGGTTAGCACTTAAGAACTAATAACAGCAGGACCTTGTGTCCACTTTTAGGCCTGAAGGAGTGAGGGGAGTGACTGGTTTTCTGAATAGTTGGGTGGGAGGGCACCTGAGAGGAGCTAAGACTTTTGGGCAAGGGGTGCGGCCCCAGTTTCCTATCAGAGATTGAGGTGGGGGAAGAAATACCCTCACCTCCCTGTCTTCCTCTCCAGACATCTGCTGGTGCCTCCTACTGGGCAAACTCTGCTGGAAGCAAGAGAGCCAGGAAGCCCATTGATATGGTCCACACGGTGGGGGTGGGGGTGACGGGGGCACAGGACAGCGTGGAGGGGGTGGAGTGGATTTGGAGGGGCAAACAGAAGAGATCTAGCACATTCTCAATTTACAGATGAGGAAACAGAGGCTCAGAACAAATGATGAAATGATTTGCTTAAGGTCACTCATAAGGGGATTTGAACTTTCAGGGTTGTCTGTGGACCAGATGCCACCCTGGATGTGAAATCACTTAGTGATGTGAAGTTCCTCACTTAAGCTTGCTGGGTGTGAGTTTCCTTATAATGTCCTCTCTGACTGTGATATATTTGTCAAGTTATGGAGTCGTGATATCATCCATTGGTATAGCTTGTCCCACTCGTCGTCACATCTGATTGTCACGGGAACCAGTTGGGGTAGGCAGGTGGTTACCACTTCTACTTCTTTTAAAGAAGTTTGCTGATGATCGTTCAGTCTTTTGCTCGTTCAGCAAATACAGTGTGATATGGAGTGCCAGACTGGCGTGTCCCTGTCAGTATGGTGCACGTCTGTTCTTCAGACTTGGAGTCTTGGGCCTTTCAGTGAGCCATTAGCTCACTTGGACCTTACTATTCTGTGAGGTAGAGGAAATAGGATAACCTGTTTTAGTGGGAAGGGGAGGCTTGGAAGCAGAGAAGTCCTTAATGAGGGTACCCAGCTTACTAGGAAGGAGGATGGGTCAGAGCAGAGGTCTCCTGGTGCTCTGCAGTTGCCTGCCCTGCCTCAGGCCACTGAGGCTGGGCTGGAGCTCTGAAGGTGACCACACAGGAGGGGACCTGGCCAGTGATGGTGAATTGAAGAGCCTCTGGCCTTATTCTCTTTGTCCTGGTTCTAGAAATGGACTTTTCCAATTTTTCCAAACCTCCCTTCGATCTCACAGCTTCTAGTTCCTGCTGTAGTTGCTTTTATGGCTGAGCATAATGATGAATAACTTACAGATAGGTCTGTGAGAAATTCGGCCTTGCTATATTTGAGAATTCCGGTTCTCACCCCTAGGTGTGTTTTATGAAAGCTTGAAAATAGCGTGGTGTCTGTCCGTGTAACAAAAGCAGCGATTTCCCGTTATTTGCGTTTGGTCCTGAGATGAAAAGTGGCCCCTCGGGCAGATTCGTTAGTGCACCAGGGAGCAGTGCAGAGCATGGCTTTGCAGCCGGATGTGAGCTCAAGGCCTCTGCTCAGTAGTGGAAAGACTTCGTGCACAGTATTTCAGCTCTGTGGGTCTGCGGGGTCCCAGGTGGGAAAATGAGGGTTATAGTAGCCCCTCCCTTACAGGGCTGTTGTGCAGCGTCAGTGACACGATGCGCATTACGCTCCTGGCACAGTTTGGCACGTGGGTGCTATGCCAGGGCCTGTGTGACACAGACCTGCTCTGTTCTCCTGTCCCCGCCTTTCCCTGATCGCAGCAGCTGGGTCCTTTCCATCAGGCCCATCTGTTACCTCTCCACCCTAATTGCAGGGAGTTAGGAAGTCAGCAGGTCACTTCGTGCATTGGCCAAGCCCCCTCTTGCTGTAAAGCATCCTTAGTCATTAATGATGTTCTGAGTCTGGAATAGACCAGCATATGCACTCGTTTGTCAGTGCCGAGTGAACTCTGGAGATGTCTCTTACTGCATTTCAGTGTGCATTTAATATACATACTTTCAGAGCACCTCTCCACATACAGTATCTTCATTTTTGGGCCTAAAAGTCAGAAATTTAGACCAAAAGCCACCTCTTTTTTTTTTTTTTTAAAGTCTCTCATTTTTTTTTTTTTTTTTGTGAGGAAGATCAGCCCTGAGCTAACATCCATGCTAATCCTCCTCTTTTTGCTGAGGAAGACCAGCTCTGAGCTAACATCTATTGCCCATCCTCCTTTTTTTTCTCCCCAAAGCCCCAGTAGATAGTTGTATGTCATAGGTGCACATCCTTCTAGTTGCTGTATGTGGGACGCGGCCTCAGCATGGCCGGAGAAGCGGTGTGTTGGTGCGCGCCTGGGATCCGAACCCGGGCCGCCAGCAGCGGAGCACGAGCACTTAACTGCTAAGCCATGGGGCCGGCCCCAACCAAAAGCCACCTTAAAGGCAGCTCCTCTACGTAAGTCACTTTTCCAACTTTTTCTTCTGACCCACACGTGGTATCCAGCCGAGGGGCACTTGCACGGACATTCCTCACCCTAACTAGCAAAGACCCTCCCACCCCCCTTCATGCTCCGAACACACGCTCAGACCCAGGTGCGTCGAGAGTGGGGGGGTGACGGGGAGGACCTGGAATGTTCTTTATTGCGGAAAGTACATCTTTCACCAGCTTCCCTTCTTTAACTTTTGTTACTTGTGCGACGCACTTGACAGTCAGTTTTGGAACATGAGTGTCCTGACTTGAGAACCAGAGGTCTGCTCCAGCTCCTTCGTGGTGCAGGGAGGACACTGAGGAGCAGTGGAGGTGAGAGCGCTGTGTCCTGACCTAGTCCAGTGCGTTTTCAAGCCGCCCCCCCACCCCTCGACAAGTGGTTAGCTTGTCGAGTTTTATAAGTCATGAGCAGAGCATTGCTAAAAGTCTTAAAATTTAAAAAAAAAATTACGTCATGCTGTTATCAGTTATCGATTCTTCTTTATTATCTTTTTGCATGGAAGTTGATACATACAGAGCAGTTTACGTCTATAAATTGTAGGGTATGGTAATCAAATGAACACCACTCACCCCACCGGTCAGTCTAAGAGGACTTTGCTGGTACTGTTGTGTGCACCTGTGGCTTCTCTCCTGTTGCTCTGCCTTGCCCCTCCCCTTACTCCCTCCTAAACCCAGGTAACTACTTTCTTGAATCTTGTGTGCTTCCTTCTCTTTTAAAACAGGTATAGTTTTATCACCTAGGTGTGCATTCCTAAGCAGTATATTGTCCACTTTTGTTCATTTTTGAGCTTTTTAAAAAGTGTATCATGCTATATGTAATCTGAGACTGCTCTCCACTCAGCAATATGTCTCTAAGATTTATTTATGCTACTTGTAGCTGCAATTCATTCCCTTTGACTACTGTGTACAGTCATGTGTTGCTTAGTGACGGGGATATGTTCTGAGAAATGTGTCATTAGGCGATTTCATCCTTGTGTAAACATTATAGAGTACTTACACAAACCTAGGTGGTATAGTCTCCTACACACCTAGGCTACATGGTACTAATCTCATGAGACCACTGTTGTATATGTGGGCCGTCATTGACCAGAACGTTATGTGGCACCTGACTGTATTTAATGTACCATTGTGTGGGTATCTCACAGTTTATCAGTTCTTCTGGCATTTGGATTGCTTAGTTTTTTCCTTTTTCCTATCACAAACAAGCTACAAGGAACATTGTTCCTGGTGAACTGTGCCACTATTGAACATGTATAAGAGTTATTTCTAAGTCAAACTGGGGTTATGGTCATAGGTCATGAATTCATTTTAGTGGATACAACCAGTGCCACCTGTGTCGTATATTTTCCTTCTGTGTGGGTCTGTTTCTGGGCGTTCTCGTTTGTTCTGTTGGTCTGTTTGTTTGTCCTGTCTCAATTCCACAGTCTAACTCATTGCTGAGACTTGCTGCCTGGTGAGACACATCCTCCTCTGTGTATTGTAATGCAGCAGCTAGCATCTAGATTATGGAGAGTGCATTGTCAGATGCAGAGTGTTAGCTGGGTGAAGTACAGGTAATCTGCCATCTCTGGACAGGGAAGTGTTTATTGCTGAAATGTGGCAGATGTTGGAAAAGTAGATACTAGTCTAGTCTCCATGTATAGACTTAAGGTAACCCCATACCTCAACTTGTATGAAAGCTTTTTAAAAAAACTAAACTTTTCCTTTTGCGATAATTGTAGATTTTGCTGCAGGTGTAAGAAATAATACTAATGGATCCTGTGTACCCTTTACCCGGTTTCCCCCAGTGGTGACCTTTTGTAAAACTATAGTAGAATATCGCAGCCCAGATATTGACACTGTTAAAGTCAGCACACAGATCAGTCTGTCACCACAAGGATCCCTCCTGTTGCCGTTTTATAGACTCAGTTCCTGACCTCTGGCAGCTACTAATCTGTCCTCCATTTCGATAATTGAGTCATTTCAAGAACGTTACGTAAATGGCATCATACAGTATGTAACCTTTTGGGATTAGCTTTTTACACTCAGCAGAATTTCCTCCAGATTCATCTGAGTTGTGTGTATATTAGTTGGTTCCTTTTTATGGCTGAGTAGCATTCCATGGTATGGGTGTACCATGGTTAGGTTAACCATTCATCTGGTTTCCAGTGTTGGCTGTTAGGAGTAAAGCTGTTATGAACATTCATGTACAGGTGTTGGTGTAAACATAGGTTTTATTTCTCTGGGAAAATGCCCAAGGGTGTGCTTGCTGGGTGATATTGTAACGTTGTGTGTTGAATTTTATAAGAACTGCCAGGGGCTGGCCCCGTGGCTTAGCGGTTAAGTGCGCACACTCCGCTACTGGCGGCCCGGGTTCGGATCCAGGCGCACACCGACGTACCGCTTGTCGGGCTATGCTGAGGCGGTGTCCCACATACAGCAACTAGAACGATGTGCAGCTATGAGATACAACTACCTACTGGGGCTTTGGGGAAAAAAAGGAGGAGGATTGGCAATAGATGTTAGCTCAGGGCCGGTCTTCCTCAGCAAAAAGAGGAGGATTAGCATGGATGTTAGCTCAGGGCTGATCTTCTTCACAAAAAAAAAAAACAAAAAAACTGCCAAACTGTTTTCCAGAGTTGCTGTATGCATTTTAGATCCCCATCAGCAATGTAGGAGTGATCCAGTTTTTTTGCATGTTCTCCAGCATTTGGTGTGTCATTGTTTTTTATTTTAGCCATTCTGTTAGGTGTGTAATGATATCTCATCGTGGTTTTAATTTATATTTCCCTGGTAGCTAGTGGTGTGGAACACTCTTCATGTGCACTATCCGTGTGTCCTCTTTGGATATACACATTCATGTCTTTTGCCCATTTTCTAATTAGATTGTTTTTTACTGTAGAGTTTGGAGTTATATCTTTTAGATATTAGTCCTTTGTCAGATATATGATTGTAAATATTTTTTCCAGTCTTTAGCTTGTCTTTGCATCCTCTTAACAGAATCTTTTACGGAGCAAAAGGTTTTAATTTTGGTAAGGTCCTAACTTGCTGAGGGTTTTTATTATGAATGGTTGTTGGATTTTGTCAAATGCATTTTTTCTATCAATTGATAGCATGATTTTTGTTCTTTAGCTTGTTGATGTAGTGGATTACAGTGATTGATTTTCAAAGATTGAACTAGCCTTGCATAGCAGGAATAAATCCCACTTAGTCATGATGTATAATTCTTTTTGTACGTTGAATGTGGTTCTATAAGTTTTCCTCTCTACACTGTGCTAGCTGTATCCCACTTGTTTTGATTTGCTGTATTTTCATTTTCATTCAGTTCTATGTGTTTTTAAATTTTCTTTGAGACTTCCTGTTTGACCCATAGGTTATTTAGAAGTATATTGCTTAATTTCCAAGTGTTTAGAGATTTTCCTACTGTTATTGATTTCTAGTTTGATTCTATTGTGATGAGAAAACATACTCTATGATTTCATTTCTTTTAAATTTGTTGAAGTTTGTTTTATGGCCCAGGATAAGGTCTCAGTGAATGTTCCATGGGCACTTAAGAAAAAAATGTGTATTCTGTTCTTGTTGGGTGGAGTGTTCTATATATATCAGTTAGATCATGTTGGTTGATGGTGGTGTTGAGTTCTTTTATATCCTTGCTGATTATCTGTCTAGTAGTTCTTATAGTTGCTGAAATGGGGGGATGTTGAAGTCCCCAGTGTAATTGTCGATATGTCTCTTCCTTCTTTTAGCTCTATTGGTTTTTGCTTCATCTGTTTTGAGACTCTGTTTGGTGCATATACGTTTGTCTTCCTGCTGGGTTGATCCTTTTATCATTGCGTAATGTCCCTTTTTATCTCTGGTAATTTTCTTTGCTCTGAAGTCTGTTTATGTGATATTAATATAGCCACTTCTTTTTTTTTTTTTTTTTGGTGAGGAAGATTAGCCCTGAGCTAACATCCGTTGCCAATTCTCCTCTTTTTCTGAGGAAGATTGGCCCTGGGCTAACATCTCTGTCCACCTTCCTCTATTTTATATGTGGGATGCGACCACAGCATGGCGTGGTGAGTGGTGTGTAGGTCTGTGCCCAGGATCCAAACCCGTGAACCCTGGGCCACGGAAGCAGAGTGTGCAAACTTAACCACTATGCCACTGGGCTGGCCCTCACTTCTGCTTCTTTTTGATTAATGTTTGCGTGGTATATCTTCCCATCCTTTTACTTTCAGCCCACCTGTGTCCTTGAATGTGAGGTGAGTTTCTTGTACTCAGCGTATAGTTGAGTGTGTTTTTATCCACTCTGCCATTCCCTGCTTTTTAATTAGTATGCTTAGACCATATACGTTTAAGGTAATTATTGATATATCAGGTCTAAAGCCTGATGTTTTATTCTTTTCTGATTGTTTCCTCTGTTCCTTGTTCTTCTGTTTCTTTTTTCTTGCCTTCCTTTGGATTATTTGAACATTTTTTAGCATTCCATCTTGATTTATTTATGGTGATTTTTAGTGTGTCGTGTAGTTTGAGTGGTTGTTTTGAGTATTGCAGTATATTTGACTTACATGGTAGTCCTGTTGCACCACTGAGTGAAGTATGGAAATCTTCCTTCCGTTTAGGTCCCTTTACCCTCCCTACTTTTAAACGTTATTGTTTTGGATATCAGTCTTAAAATTTTTGTTTGATTTGTCACATACAATTTAGAAAACTCAGGAGGAGAAGGATCGTCTGTTGTACTTAACCCATATTTTTGCTCTTTCTGTTGTGCTTTCTTCGTTTCTGAGGCTCCAAGATTTCTTTTATCATTTCTTTTCTGTTTGAAGAACTTCCTTGAGCTGTTCTTTAAGAGTGTCTGCTAGTGACACATTCTTTTAGTGTTCCTTTGTCTCAGATGTATGATAGCTTTTTAAGCAATTAATTTATTGTTTTAACTTTTGGTTTGAAAAGTTTCAAATATAAAAATAAACCTTTATGTACCTATCACTCAGCTTCAACAGATACCAATCTCTTGCCATTCTTGTTTCTTCCAGTAGGGATTTGCTTTTTTTTTTTGGTTTAGTAAAAGAAAAGAGCTCTTACCTGTGTACCTGGCGTGTGCTACAGCACTTTACTAAATTACCTTTGAAATCCTCACAGGAACCTTATGAGCCAGAACCTGGTGGTATCTCCATTTTATAGATGAGAAGTTGGAGGCTTAGGAGAGTTAATAACTTGCCTAAGGTCACACTTTGTGTTTATTTGTTTCATTAGAATGTTCTCTGTATTTCGGAGAGAACCTAAGTGTATTCTGACAGGAGTTGTAACAAATTGGAGGGAGCTTTATGTTTATTACAAAAAGCCTCTTTTCTTCCTCTTCCTGAGGGGCGGTGTGGCACTGCTGTGTCAGTGGCTCTCCCAGATAGCGCCTTTATTTTGTTTGGGGCAGACACGCGTTGTCACCGGTGGCGAAAAAGCTGAGTTATTTTGATGCTGGTGTTTGAACTTCAGCTTCTGTCTTCTTGCTTCCAGCTGTCCATCAACGTCTATGACTACAACTGCCACGTGGACCTGATCCGGCTGCTGCGGCTGGAAGGCGAGCTCGCCAGAGCGAGGACGGCCCGCCAGAAGATGAGCGAGACCTTCCCTTTGACTGAAGGTAACACTCCCGGCGTCAGGCTGCGTTCCCAAACAGAGAATTGAAGAGGGAACATTTGTGTCAATGTTGGAGGTGGGGCAGGCGCCTTACAGAACGTTTGGAACATGTAAATATAGTGGAAAGAAGAAAATCCATCATCCAAAGCCAGCAATGTTTAGTTTATTGTTTTATAGTTTTTTGCAAAATATAGTTGTGATCATACAGTACTGATTCGCATTTCGGCTCCTGGTTTCTTTATCCAAATATTATGATAAAAATTTTCTGTTATTAAATTTTTCCCGTTCTCTTTCTAGTTCCCATTCTAGTATTTATGTATTTAATCCATTCTCTCAGAACTAAATAATTGTAAATGTATTCCAATTAAACTTTAATAACCGATTTTTAATGTAAATGTTTCATACCTTATTTGTTCCACAGTAGTTGGGCATTTAGGTTATTTCTACTTATTTGCTTATTTGAAACATAATTACACTGAGCATCCTTTTAGTTAAATCTACGTGAATATTCATAGTGTATCTTTTGGAGAGGAGTCGGAAAACACTGGTCCTAGATCCAGCTCTGTCCCCCTCTCCCTCCCACAGAGCATAACTGCTGAGTGTGGAAGCTGAAATCAGATTGCCCAGATTCGTTCCTGACTAACGTGTTACTAGCTGTGTGACCTTAAGCAAATTGTGTACACGTTCTAAGACTCAGTTTTCCCAGCAGTAAGATGCGGATGACAGTAGCTTCTGCCTTGTAGTACTTGGATTGGATGAGATAATCTGTGTACAACACTTAACACAGGCCTGGCGTGTCATAAATGCTTAGATGGATGCCATTGTTATTATTGTTACCAGCACCTACCTCACAGGATTTTGAGTAAGATTGCATGAGAAAATTTATATGTAAGTACTACTTTCCAAAATATAAAATGCCCAGTAGGTGTAGGATATTATGATTTTAGTGATTTGATCTGTTTGGAAGCATAAACCTTCTGTATGCTTGGTGCAAGTTTTAAGAATGGATTTCTCTGAACTGTGCCAGGTTGTAGAAGATGGGTGAGATGTTTGCATGCTGATGATGCTCAGTCAAGTCCCTGCTTTCAGCCTGCCCTTTGGTGAGGGAGGTGGTAATGCAGGGGGGCTGTTGTCTTGCAGAGCTCTGGCTGGAGTGGCTGCATGACGAGATCAGCATGGCCATGGACGGCCTAGACAGAGAGCACGTGTACGACCTTTTCGAGAAAGCCGTGAAGGATTACATTTGTAAGTTCCTGTGGGCTCTGGGCGGGGGTCTGAGTGTCATCCAGCGTTGGTCTCTGCTGTCGTGGATCATATGGAGAGATGTTGCCACCCAGAGAAGAGAGCATTAGTCTAGCAGTCAGAAAGACTTGAGTTCACTTATTCTTATTGTCGTCTCTGCTCTTCACTTGAGGATATTTGTTTTTTTTGTGAGGAAGATCAGCCCTGAGCTAACATCTGTTGCCAATCCTCCTCTTTTTGCTGAGGAAGACTGGCCCTGGGCTAACATCTGTGCCCATCTTCCTCCCCTTTATATGGGACGCCGCCACAGCATGGCTTGACAAGTGGTACATCGGTGCGCGCCCGGGATCCGAACCTGTGAACACTCAGGCCTCCGAAGCGGAGCGTGCGCACTTAACCGCTGCGCCACCAGGCTGGTGCCAAGGAAGATATTTGGTTTTAAAATACAAGGAGAAGAAATATTGGTAGTAAGGGAATGAATATACTCACACCCAGCATTTTTCTGGCAGGGAGAACTTAGATTATTTCCAGATGACTAAAGGTTACCTTTTACACACTAAATATGTTTTTAGGAGTTTTGGACAGATTGCTCTTTTTTAAAAAATATTAAGAAACTTAAAAAAAATTTTTTTATTTTGAAATAATTATAGATTTACAGAGAGTTGCAAAAATAGTACAGAGAAGTCCTGTGTACTTGCTTCATCCAGTTTCCCTGAATATCTTATAACTCTAGTACAGAATCAACACCAGGAACTTGACTTTTGTATGATCTGTGTGTATAGTGCTGTGACATTTTATCCCACGAGTAGATTCGGGTAAGCACCCCTGTAGCCGAGATACAGAACCCCCATCCCCATGGAGTTCTGCTGGTGTAGACGTTGTACCAGTGCGGTGAGGGGTGGGTGCCTTGCCTCCCTTGAAGTCCCTTCACCCTCCCCTGTTAGCGTCATTCTCTGAATATCTTCTCTGCATACACTGAGGGCCGTGACAGACAATGCTGTGGACTAAGTGTTTTAAAAAGCATTAAAAAGAGATTTCCCCTCTTTTGATTAAACCTCCTCCTTCCCTGACTCTCCTCATTCCCCACTGTGGGCAGTTCCCCTCGAGGGAAGCTTTGATACTTAGAAGACAGACTGCCCCGAAGAAGAGAATTTTTCTGGTACCTTTACCAGCCAAGAAGAGTCTATCAGTTTTTTACTTTCTGTAATCTGAATAATGAAAATAATAGGTGTTTTGTGAATATAAAATTATACTAAATGTATTTTTAAAAGCTATACTTGTGCCTCTGCTCCAGTGCAGCCACATGGCCTCTTGGAACCTCGGACAGGGTTCCAAATGCCTGATGTTCCCACGTCTTCTGATGTCCTGTGACCTCCTTCGAGACGTCTTAGAGTCATCATTAACAGCACCCGTTCTCGTTCTCCAGGGACCTTTTGTCCTTCCCCAGACTGTCATGTCTTTTGGTCTTAATGGTTTTGCAGTCATCTCTGCCATCAGGCTGGCACTGTCACTCAGTGCTGGTGTCAATGTGCCCCTGTCCACCAGCTGTTTCAGGGCTGTTGTGGGTCAGGAAGCCAGATAACCACACTTCTTAGATTATGTCTCATCAGTAGTTTGAGTGGGGGCCTGAGGAGTTCTTGTGTTATTTTCAGGAGCTTTAGTGTGTGGAAATTGTGTCACGTTTTTTTTTTTTTTTTTTTTTTTGCTGAGTAAGATTTGTCCTGAGCTAACATCCATTGCCAATCTTCCTCTTTTTGCTTGAGGAAGATTCACTCTGAGCTAACATCTGTGCCAGTCTTCCTCTATTTTGTGTGTGGGTCACCGCCACAGCATAGCCACTGACGAGTGTAGGTCCGCACGTGGGAACCAAACCCTGGCCGCCAAAGTGGAGTGTGCTGAACTTAACTACTAGGCCACAGGACCAGCCCCTGTGTCACTTGTTTTAAATGTTCAAAAGCCACTTTTGCCTGCTTCTTACTTTTTTACTAAGTCTTGCACGTTTGAAGGTGCCAGGTACAGGCCTCCTTTATTTCTCAGCACGTACTCAGTAGTGATTTCGAGCCGTCCGGGAGGTGTTCTGTGCACCGTTAATAGGATATGGCTCTGGCCCTTTGGCTCTTCAGAGGTTTTGAAAATCAGGTTCCTCAGTCTTTGGAGGAGTGTTGTGCCTGTTTTGGACCTGGGATCTAGTGACACATTCTTTTGTTTACCTCTCATAGTCATTGTGGACTCTCGACTCTTGGATTTTCTGAGTTTAAGATACTATTCATAATATTTGCCCCTCTGTAGATTATTTAAATATTAGGAGGAGCCATGATGTAATCTATTGAAAATTACCTTCTCTTTAGAGGAGGAGCCGTTTCATAGACCATCTGTAAATGTGTCTTACCCTCACTAAGGGCGTCAGCTCCAAGAGCTAGCTCATTTCTTTTTTTTCTTTTTTTTTTGGTGGAGGGAGATCAGCCCTGAGCTAACATCCGTGCTAATCCTCCTCTTTTTGCTGAGGAACACTGGCTCTGAGCTAACATCTATTGCCAATCCTCCTCCTTTTTTTTTTTTTTTCTTCCCCAAAGCCCCAGTAGATAGTTGTATGTCATAGTTGCACATCCTTCTAGTTGCTGTATGTGGGACGCGGCCTCAGCATGGCCAGAGAAGCGGTGCGTCGGTGCGCGCCAGGGATCCGCGCTTGGGCCACCAGTAGCGGAGCGCATGCACTTAACCGCTAAGCCATGGGGCTGGCCCGAGCTAGCTCATTTCCATTTTTATTTTGCAGCCCATATGGCAGCTCTGTATTGGTGAGTGAAAACAGAGAAGCTGACAAACTTGGGCTAAGTTCTTTGAAAGAAACCCATTTCTTTGAAAAAGCAAGCCTTAGGAAAAGATACAGTAATTCTCAAATTGGCTTCTTTATCTTTTTAGTATTTTTATTTTACAAGGTTAGTGTATAGGCCTCTGAAATTTTCTGAAAAGTGACTTAATAGGCAAAACGTGTACAGTAAGAATTGATGCATTCATAAAGAGTTTAATTCATTAGTCTGGTCTTAAAGCCATGGGAGTGAGTATATAAAAAGTTTAAAAAGAAAGTGAAAGAAACAAGGCAATCAACTGTTTTTTTGTTGTTAAAACATTATTAAAAATAGAGATTTAAAATATAGATTTCTAGTAACAGGATTGGTGCTTTTAATTTTGTCTTTTCACTTTGACCAGAAGGCTTAAAAATGAATCGAGATTCAAAAGTTGAAAAATTCTAGGCTTTGAAACTTTCTGAAGATTGACTCTGATTTGTAACTGTTTTCATTGAAATCTGTTCTTGGGTTCTTTCAGTTTTAATAAATAGGCACTGCAATCATGGTCGTGTTACATATTACCACCTGGCATATACTGTTGATGCAGTAAAATCTCAATGTGATACCCAGTAGGAACAGTGTTTATGATACACTTTCTTTTCAGTCTGCAGTATAAGTGTAGGTAAATTAAGATGCTTGTTGATGATGCTCTGACCTTTTTGCATGAATGAATGCTCTTTTGGTGGGCACATTTGTTATGCATCAGAACAAAAGTTTTGACATTTGGGTATTTCATATCCTGAACTAATAGAATACTTCTCATTTTTAGGTCCTAACATTTGGCTAGAGTATGGCCAGTACTCGGTCGGTGGGATCGGTCAGAAAGGTGGCCTTGAGAAAGTTCGCTCTGTGTTTGAGAGGGCTCTCTCATCCGTCGGTTTACATATGACCAAAGGACTTGCCATCTGGGAGGCTTATCGGGAATTTGAAAGTGCGATTGTGGAAGCTGCCCGGGTGAGTGCCCCTGTCTCTGTGAGCAGTGCCTGCCTTTGACTAGTCGGGGCTGTCTCTGTAAGTGGTCTTGGAAGAACATAGTTAACAAAATGGTCTTTGCCAGGCCGTTAGTGGGTGGACAGTAAAATACAGGAAATCAGTAGTCTTTGTGGAAGAGCGAGAATGCTTTCTTTGACTAAAAAGCAGATGACCGTACAGTTTTTTTCCTGATACTTAAAAATCCTGCTGTTTTAGTTACTGGTTCCGGGTGGATGCACAATAATAACCGTGTCCCTCCAAAAAAAATATATATATGTATCATGTCCGATAGTAACTGTGAGAGATTTGACCCCATCATAGTTGCATTTTCTAGACTATGATTTATAGAATTTACAGTCCCCTTCCCAATGTCCCCTCTCCACTATGTTTGTGTGTGTGCACAAAGTTATTGTTGGCATGTAGTGGATCCCTCTAATAGATCATTGTTATTAAACCAGCCCAGTCCCTCTGGATTACGTCCCTGTTGAAGAATCTGCAGTGGTGCCTTCACATTCCCTGACAGAGGCATCAGGGCTGACTCCTTCAGCTGGTGTCTGGCTCTCTCTAGTATCAGACGTCACTCTGCGTGGACTCTGCTCCCACGCTCCCCTCAACCTTCTTGCACTTTCTGGCCGCTGTACTTTTATTCACATTGTTCTTTTAACTGGGAGAGATTTCTTTCTCTCGTTTCTTTCTCTTGTAACCTCTGGAGAGCCTGCAGACGCATCCCAAATGCCAGCTTCTCCAGGAGTCTTTCCTGATTTTTTCCCTTCATAACAACAAAATTCAGCCCTAAAAACCAGCTTAAAGCAAGCCACAGTACTTCGATACTTGTGGTACTTTGCTTTTATGATACTTAGATTCTACCTCATTATAGTCATTTGGATATGTTTCTTATATTCCTTCTTGTTTTCTCCCCATCATAAATGCTTAATAGCAGAGATAATATTTATTTTTGTTTCTCTGGCAATATTTGGCACAATAGCTCACGTATGAGAGGTCATATACAATTTTTTAGTTTGAACTAAAAATTTATTGAAATATTTTTTGAAGTAGGAAGAACCAAAGTTTGTCATTTACTACAAATTTGCTTCTTTAGCCCATAGCTGGCTTCCTTTCCCCTTTTGACCGGGAACAAACCTTTGATTCACAGCTTGAGAAAGTCCACAGTCTCTTCCGGCGACAGTTGGCGATCCCACTCTATGGTAAGAGAAACTGACATGTCAACAGCCAGCCGTTCGTGGTCTTTAAAATGCTTTGGGGTATGTCATGTTAATTAGGCCTTTCCCAGCATCCCGTGAGGCAAATGTAGCTGGTGTTCTTATTCTCAGTAGACAGTGTCACTGTGGGTGAGGCCCTTGGTTAAAACGTATCTTGAATTGTTGATGTTCAAGAGGGTTATGAGGGTCAGAGGCAGGACTAGAAGCTGGACCTCCTGACTCCCAGTTGAGATGTCTTTCCTACTGTAAGACATTGTTGGAGAGGCAGAGATAAGGTCTCTGAAAGGAGTAGGGAAACTGACCCTCTGTATTTTCTGGGGAAACTTTATTGAATTAGAGTTTCACTGTAAGCATTTTCTCTTCAGGAGTAACCTCTTCCATTACAGATGGGGATTTTACATGGATTTATCTTGTTCTTTTGTGGGGTGGTTTGATTCAGAAGCACCATCAATTGGAAGTATTTGTATCTGAATTTCTTGGGGTTTGGTAGGGATTCTCCTTTGTGGGCGAATATATTTTGGCAAGCCAAGCCTTTGAGGCTCTGAAGCTGTGAGCATGAGCAGTGCAGGGAGGATTTTTCTGAGTATGGAAAGAGTTTGGCACTGCCATCTCGTTTGTTCCCTAGGCATGGTTATGCATTGTACACCCTCAGAACCTCTGGGCGTCTTGAGCCCAGGCGTTATTTCTCTTTTTACTTCATGGTGTATTTGGATTTGATTTAGCAAATTATAAAAGGTGACTCTCCAGTCGAATCCTTGAGTGACATACAGAAAAAGCTGGCTCGTAGATTTCATCTCTCATACCAACCTGAGGCAGCATAGCATAGTGAGTAGAGAATGAACTTGAGCCAGACTGCCTGGGTTCAAAGCCTTGCTCTGCTGTTAGCTGTAGACAAGTGATATAGCCCCTGCTTCACTTTCCTTAACTGCAGAACAGGGATCACAAGAGAACCCAGCTCACAGAGTCGCAAGGATGGAAAGAGTTACTGGATGTGAAGTGCTAGAACATAGGAAGCGGTAGCTGAGTGTTGTTAAAGCATTGCTGTTAGTTTCGTTAACTCTGATTGGTTAGTTGATAGGGCTGTCTGGGACAGCGCGCTGAGACAGAGTCTCAGGCCCAGTCTGGGCGCAGCAGAGGAGCCTAGGGTTCCATCAGTAAGAGCTGCTGTGGCCACAGGCGAGGGAGGGGCTAGCGGCACGTGCGTCGCTTGGTTTAATCTCTGTTTGGATTGATAAAACCCAATGGCAAGACCCACGGGGCTGAATCCATCTTTCAATAGATATGGAGGCGACATTCGCAGAGTACGAAGAGTGGTCAGAAGACCCGATACCAGAGTCAGTAATTCAGAACTATAACAAGGCACTGCAGCAGCTGGAGAAATACAAACCCTACGAGGAGGCGCTGGTGAGTGTTGGCTTCTTGCACAGTCACCTTCTCGCTCTGCAAGCTTTTCCCTGATTGATAGTTGCAAGTAAAACAGTAGCTTTAAAATGTGTTTTATTGTGAAATATATAGAATGTATAAATGTATACATACAGCTTACATACTAATAATAAAGTGAACGTCCGTGTACCCACCACCCAGGTTAAGAAATAGAACATTGCCAGTACCTTAGACGTCTATGTGCCCCTGTCCGATTGCCTCCTCTTCCCTCTCCCGAGAGGTAATCACTTTCCTGACTTTTGTGATAATTCATTCCCCTGCTTTTCTTTATAGTTTTGCAACCTATGAGCGTATCCTTAATATATTGTTTAATTTTGCCTGTTTTTGAACTTTTATATAATGCAATCATGCTGTATGTTTTCTTTCATTCAGCATGTTTTTGGGTTTTACTCATGTTGATAAGTATAGTTACAGTCATTTGTTTTCACTGCTGTAAGGTTGTCTGTGTATACCATGATTTATTTATCCACTTTCTTAGTTTGTTTCTAGTGTTCTGCTAGCAGGAGCAGAATGTATGTATCTCTTGGTTCACATGAAAAAGAGTTTCTCTAAGTACATACCTAGGGATGAAATTGCTCGATCATAGGGTAATGGTGAACTGTCTTCCAGGTTGTCAGTTTACACTCCTACCAGCGGTATCTGAGAGTTCTCGTTACTCTTGCCAACCTACTTAATTTCCAAGTAATTACATACTTATTTCCAAGTAACGACTTATTAAGTAATTACATTCTTAAATTTTAGCCACTCTGATGAGTCTGAAATTGTAGTTTTACTTTGCATTTCTCTGATGACTAATGAAGCTGAGCATCTCTTCTCATCTACTGGCCATTCAGATTTCCTTTTTTGCGAAGTGCCTGTTAAAGTCTTCAACTCATTTTTCTTTTGGTTTGCCTTTTTTCTAATTGATCCATGGGAGTCCTGAATCTTAATCCTTACTTTTGGTTGTATGTATTGCAAATTTTTTCCCCCAAGTTTGTGGTTTGTCTTTTCACCTTTTTTAATGGCATCTTTTGATGACCAGTTCTTTAATTGGATTTTTCTTTTTCTTATGGTTTGTGCTTTTGTTATGCTTAAGAAATCTCTCCATACTCCAAAAGTCATGAATATGCTTAGCTCTTTTTTCTTTTGAGAGTTTATCGTTCTGTGTTGCATGTTTAAGTCTTCATCTGAAATTGATTTTTGTGGGTGGCATGAGGTAGGGTCCTGTTTCTTTTTTCCATACGGAGAACCAGTTGGTCCAGCCTTG